TAAGAGGAACTATAGCTCTGTTGTCCAGTTTCCTCCTCATTCTGACTATGAATACTACTAATATGAGCTACCATGTTCATGATAGTAAACTGCTAGCACACGCTGAAGCAATAAGCAAGAGCTTTGAAAATGCAGGGCATTTCTTCATTTGATACAATAGTTTATCAGTGCAAGAATGCCGGTTGTCATTCTGGTAAAGTACCTAGTCTGTGTTTGGTGCAGACCACACAAACATGGACACAGCTTACTCCCAAGCATAGATTTCAAATATGGAAAAAATTTTCTGAGTTCTCCATGGATTTCTGAGAAGGTAGAATTTTAGATGAAGTAATTTTTGTTACAAGTTACCAAGACCACAGGTATTCTCAGATGATGACTATTAATTTAATTGAATCTGGATCAGACCCCTCAGTGAACTTTAAAAATAAAGTAAAATCTGTTTATTCCATGAAGGGATTACTTAATTATTTAGGAAAGGACAAATTATCACAAAATGGAAAAACAATTTAGTTAACAGTTTGTCTATTGCAGTCATTTGGATCTAAACTGCACAGTTTAGGGAGGGATTTTTTGACAGGGAAGAGAAGAAGATAAAAGAAGAACAAGTGTGATTTACAGAAAATAAAACAGGTTCACCCACTTCCTAGTTACGGTCATTAACAGTGGTATAATTGTGCATAACCATTGGTCCCATTCCTAGTGTACAGTGCTAGAGGCTAACTTTACTTTGCATCTGCATAGAAATTTAGATGCAAATATGAATTGTGTTCACTGGTAGGACTAGTGTAAAGTAAACAAAGGGTATTTCTGTTGTATATTTAAGGTTGAGAAACCTATTTTGTGAACAGCATGCTATCAGCAAAGACTTCACAGTTATTAAGTAACTGCAAAGGGACATGGTCAGGTCAATGATGGGTGAGGAAAAAGGCATATATAAGGAGCACAGCAGTGTTGGGATATTGATAGGCACTTATGGTTGTCCCCATCTGAGAAAACTGCAATAATATTCTCTCTGTATTATGATTTCTGTGTTTTAAAACAAAACAAAAAATGGTTGTGGAGGCAGGGAAAGAGGATCTGAATGCCAAGCAGTAATTTTAAGGTGAAGAGTACAAAAAAGTTAGAGCAAAATGGATGGTTTAAATTCTCATAATTATTCTACTGAAGAATTAAATTTGCAAGGTCATGTTGAGGCTTATTCAGTCACAGGCATATCAGTGAAGGTAACTGGATTCAGATGAGTTCCCATCCAAGAGATATTTAAAGAAGCGAGTTCCCTAACAAAACAGTGTTGTCGAGACTCACGTTGCATATTAAATCGAAGCTTGACTTCCATGAATTAAAGTACCTTACTTTAGGCTCTTAACAAAAAAACTGACCCAAGTTCTGAGATCCACCTTCCCAGACTTACTTAATGAAAGAACATCGTATTTCATTTGTTATGGCTTCCATATACTTTATTCTTTTGTTTCATTTCTAAATTCTCTACCAATTCCTGTAACAGCAGAAGTTTGCTTTATAAAATTCCCATGTCTTACTAATAAACAGTCATAGTAGAACAAACATGAAAAATACTGGTTACCTGTAATCAGGCCTATGAATTTACTGAGCATATTGCATGAGGACTTTCTCTAATTCCATTATTTAAAATGTAGATGTATTTCAGGTGTGTTTGCAATCAAATGCAGGAAGGAAAATTCAGATCATGGAAGAAAAGCAAGAAGAGGAGTAGAATGACTGTAGAAAAGTTATTACAGAAAAAATTTGGAAAATCTATACTGTAAATTATTTCACGTAAATTATTTCAATTTTCCCTATTACCATTCACATTTTTATTTTACTAGTTTTCTTGACCCCTTCACTGAATTTCAGAGCAAGATATCATTTTAGATCTTTTGAACTGCTTTAGAAATGTCTGTCAGATGGCTTTGATTGAATTCATCGTTAACAGCTCACAGCCTTAGCTTTAGGAATCCAACTGTGTTATGTAAAAATGATATCTCAGAATTTTTCTTTTAGTCAAATGTCTGATTTACAGAGTCTTAAATGATTCAGTTCTTTCCCCCCCCCCCCCCAGCCTATCCAGAACTGCTGGTACAAGCACAACCTGGACATGAGCAATGTGTACACAACACCCAGATTTTTAACTTCTTTCAAAACCAAATTCAGATTAACCTCTGAATGGCTCTGAATGGAAGCAGAATCCACGTAGCAATGAAATAGATAGGAGAGGAAGCATTCATCAGTCTTATTCCTCTGTAACACCTCCTAATGTGCCCTTGTATTAATGAAACAATGGACTTTGGCATAATTCATGGAAAATAATATACAAATAGACATGACAGGAAAAATGTGAGTACATCTATAAGGGGACAGAAAAGATCCCATAAAAGTCTTCATAAACCTCAGGACTTATTATTTGGGAGACCTCTGGGAAAAACTGTAGTCTTGAGTACAAACTTTCCCACCTCATAAGCTTCAAGAGCTTCTTAAATTTTTT